ATTGTGTCTGTGTGTGTTTTCCCCTCCTGATAAAGGTGCCCCTGGCCTGCGGTGCCTTCCGCTTTTCGCTGCATCTTGGAGCCCCTGGGGCCCTCTGGGCCTCGTGAGGGGTGCTCTTGGAGGCCGTTGGGGCCTCCTTGGGAATCCTGGTTTTCTTTGCGCCCACCGGCCGGGGAGGCCAGGAGCGACTGGGGCTCCTCGCTGTTGCGTGGGTTCCCGTTGCGTGTGCGGTGGTGGTCGTCACACGACTGGTTCACAAGTACGGTGGCGATCGTCACATGTATTTTTGCGCCGGCGGGGACCTCTGACCACGGTCTTTGGTTACAGGTGCGGTGCTGCTGGGCAGTTAATTGCCTTCGATCACGATTTTGGGTAAGAGGTACGGCGGTGCTCGTCACATGTATGTTTGCGCCGACGGGGCTCCTAACCCCCTTTTCATACGGGCCCCAACTTCCTCTGCTTGGGGCTTTCCTTCAGGCGAGGTCATCGTGAAGGCCTTCGTCTTTGCCAACATTCTTATCAGCATGTGTTTCTAGATGTGCCATCCGTCGCATTCGCATGTTGCCCCTTCGTGTACGTGTGTCGGGAGCGTGCGCAGCGCGGCAGCCCTTTGGGGCAATGCCTGGCGAACGGGGGCCAAGAACTCCCGAACCGCATTGCATACACTGGACGGCGTCTTGAACTGTGCACCGCAAGCTCGCGGGCGACAAACAGCATAACATAAACTCATCCGCCGTCGGGAACGCCTGTCCCGGGGCGGCTGGAAAGCTTCTGTCCTGACGTGCCACCGTAAGGGTGTGGGGAAACCAAAAGGTACCGATACCGCTACTCCCCGGACCTCTCCTGGGGTGCGTTCTGACCCGGATTTCGACGCGAATCTAGTGGTGGCGACGAAGGCCTCCCAGGAGGCCCAAACAGGGGAAAACGGGCGAAGGGTAGCGGTATGGGTACGTTTACTCCTCCGAATATAAACCTTCCAGCCGCCCAGGGGAAGGCGCCCCCGACGACGGACAGAAATCATCTCATACCGTCCTTCGGCTCCTAAGTCTGAGCATCGTTTATCCGATCCCTATCCCCAGCAGCGTGGCCAGGGCCCCACTGGCCGATTTACCCCCCTGGAAGGGGATATACAGGCCACTCCATTCGGGCTTCGAGGGGTGTGCCCCCAACTGGGGTGGTAATTTGGTGGGGGTCTCGAAGGAGATGAGGATGGGGAGGGGGGTCGGTTACAGCCGAAACTCTGATCAAGAAAATCATCACTTAGGAAACCTGGGCCAACTTCCCAGAAATTTCTAAAGGCAAACTTCGGCCAAAATATTGTGTCAACACTGGAAGGTCGAACGCGCTCAAGAAACCGAGCAAGCTTTCCGGCAAATTGGCTAAGAAACGCTGGCCCGGCTTTGCGAGAGGAGGCTTCTCAATCCACTGCTCGACTGTACTGAAAGTCAGAGCAGCTTGCGGGGGGGTGCGGCTGGGCGTGGTGGCATCCGCGGCAGGCGGTCGCTGGCCGGAGGCGTCCACAAAAGGGGCTGGCGCTCGGGGGGGGGCCGGGCCCTCTGCAAAGGGGGCCCAGGGACACAAAGCAAACAGACACAAATCCGAAGACCCCTCACATCTTCAATATTTTTTGGGGGTTTCGGGCTTCCCCCACACGGACCACACTTTCCTATTTTTCCGGGGAGTCGACGGTCATTTGTGCCTGCGTTTGTTTTCCCCCCCATGCTGGCTGAATGAGCGGGCGAAGAGCCGTATAAAATATACTTTTCTGCCGTCGGGGACGCCTGCCCCCTGGGCGGCTGGAGAAGTTACACCCCTACATGGCACCGTAGGGGTACAGATCGGGTGCTGCTAGAAGTGCCCCTGGCCCAAGGTGCCCCCAGCTTGTCGCTCCATTTTTGAGCCCCTGGGGCCCTCTGGGCCTCGTGAAGGGTGCCCTGGAGGCCGTCTGGGCCAGCCCGAGAATCCTGGGGGTACCTTGGGCCAGGGGTACTTCTAGGAACACCCGTATGGACCCTCCAGCCGCCCAGGGGGCCCGGCGCCTCCGGCGGAGGAAACCTTTTGGTGAGACCGCTCGTCGCCCCCTGACACTGAGGCACGCCGGTCGCAAGTTGCGACTGGGAGCTTTCTTTGCTCGGCGCGTCGCGGAGGCCTGCCCAGAAGGACCCCCCTCCCAAAGCTGCACGACCATAAACTTAAGTCGGGCCTGTCCTCCTGCAGGGGGATGTTGGACGAACAAAAAATAGTCAACAAATACCCCAAGATGGTCAAACATAGAAAAAACATCGTCCCAAAATTATTTTAAAACTATTTTTGAATATTCCTCCTGTAGAGGGACAGGCCCGACTTAACCATAAACTTTCGGAGCCCCGCGCGGACTTCCTGGATCGGCGCTGCAGCCCCCTTCCCGGCGCGCTGGGCGTGGCTGGAGGCGCCGCCGGGGGGTCCCAGCGCCGATTCAAGAACTCCGCGCGGGCCTCCGAGAGTTTACGGTCGGGAACCTCTGCTTGGCGTGTCGCGGCGGAGGCCCCGAGCGACACGCTATGCCCTGCGAGCGGATAGCGTGCCGCTCCGCTCCGCGGGACGGGAGGTCGGGACAAGGTGGGGACGTTGCCGCCTCGGGACCGCGACGTAGATAGCGTGTCGCTCCAAAGCGTGGTGGGCCAGAACCGGCGGCGCGACACGCTAAAATCAAAGCTGATAGTCTGGATGCACGGTAAGGATGCAAGGGTCTTGGAAGGCCATGCCCACACTGTTCGAGCGGGGCGCGGTCAACGAAAGTGGCCAAGGAGGGGCCGAAGGGAAAGGACGCAAGGGAAACCTTGGAACGTCGCTCAACATCTCTACCAGTTTGGACTGTAAACCAAAATTCCAGGCCGTATCTTCGCTCTCGTGAGCGCCTGGGGCGCGTCGGCCGTGGGCTGGGTGGGCATGGCCTTTTCGCCAGCGCGCAGGGGCGCAGGCGAAAAGCGCTGGGCGACGGGATGCCGAAGACTTTCATCGTCCACCAGAAGCGCGGCCAGCCGCGGCAGCAGTGGGGCAAAGAAGTATATCGACTGACCCATTGCATGTAGCTTTCCTTGCGTGACCTCCTCCCCTGCTTCCCCGCCCTGTGCACTACCAGTTTTGCCCCCCCCCCCCCCCCCCCCAACACTTCTGGGTCTAATTTTTTGTCGAAGAGGTGCCAAAGGCGCTCTCTTCTGCCCACGCGTCCCTCTGGATGCTTGGCTTCGCTGCTGCTGCTGCGCAGGGGCGCAGAGAGGAGCTGGAGCAGGGGACAAAGACGCAGAGGGAGGCCTCCCAGATGGGGAGCCGAGCAGGTGGGGTCGGATCGGCTACAAGCAAAACTGATGCAAGTATGCGCGATAAGGATACAAGCCACTTGGACGCCCGTGTTGAAGCTCTTCGAGTGGGGCTAGCCACAGAAAATGCTCGAAGATGGACCGAAGATGACCGAAGAGGCAAGGATGCAAGGGTACCCTTGGGAAGTCGATCATCCTCACCATCAGTGTTGACTGTACACGCAGGAGTGACCTTTGGATGCGCGGCTTTTGGGGGGGGCGCGGAAGGGAGGTGGGGCAGACACAAGCGCGCAAGACGCCATTGCCGCCTCGCGTTCGGCGACCGGAGGACCCCAGTGGGCCCGCACCAAAGGTCACTCTGGCGAAGGGTCACCCTTTCGTGTAGTCGATCGGAGGATCGCGCCTCCTCGTCGATGCATCGACGATGCAGCGGCGACGTCGGCGATGCATCGGCGACGTCGTGGAGGAAATCTGCCTCCATATCGAACCGCATCGCCGATTCATCGGCGATGCGGCGCGACCCTCCGACCCTATCTACAGTCGGACTTGATCGGACAGGACACGCGAAAAGACGCACGATCCTTCCGAGGGCCACATTGCCATACGAATGTAGGAGGCATGGGCCGCGAGGCACAGGACACGAGGGTACTCTCGATGTGGCAGGGTCGACCTACTGATCCAGGCCGACTGCACTTGGACCCCATCTGGGAGGCCCAGAGAGAAACGCGCAGAGGGTGAGATCGTGCCCCGCGCCGCGACAGACGGATGAGCAGAGAGAGCCACACGCGCAGACTTTCGGAGGTCCACGCGAACTTCTTGGGTCGGTGCGGAGCAGGAGGCGCCGCCAGGGTTCTGGGCATATTCTCCCTCCTTCTCCTCCGCCTCCTCCTCCTCCTCCTCCCTCCTCCTCGTCCCTCCTCCTCCCCCCTCCTCCTTCTTCTCCTCCTCCTCCTCCTCTTCCCCCCCTCCTCCCCCTTCTCCCCCCCTCCTCCCCCTTCTCCTCCTCCTCCTCCTCCTCCTCCTCCTCCTCCTCCTCCTCCCTCCTCCCTTCTTCTCCTCCTCCTCCTACCTCCTCCTCTTCTCTGTGTCGGGCCCCAGCACCATCTTCTGCTGTCTTCTCCCTCTGTGCTCTTTGTCTTCTTTCCTGCGGACTCTTGCGAACTCATGGTTTCCTTCTGGGCGATTTCGGACCGCAAGCGCTTGCATAGCACTACTGGCCGCAACGTCCCCAGGCACCACCAGAACGCTTTGGGCGAGGCGCAGCCGCTGGCAAAGCATCCCGAGGTGCGAAGACTCCAGCAGCCAGCAATAGCCCAGAACGACCTGTAAGGTCTGGGGGCCTCCGAAACATTGTGCCCGTGCCGCTGTTCTCGGATGCGGCTCGGGGGCGCTCAGCTCGCCACTGCGGCGCGCGAGAGGCGCGGGCGGCTCCAGTCGCCCGCCGCCCGCCCGCTATGCATGGCTCAAAAGAGCAGGGCGCCGGCCTCACGTGGGGAGGCCCGCGGCAGTCCAGCTCGGAGGTCGAGGCGGCGGCTGGCGGCGGATGGCGACGAGGAAGGTGGCGAGGACGGCGAGGACGGTGGTTGCGACGACGACGGCGCCGAAGACGATCCCCTCCCTCCCTCGTCCTCTCGTGGATGGCGAGAGGACGGCCCCTCCCTCCTTCCCTCCCCTCCCAGCCTCCCCCTCGAACTACTCCGTACCAATTCTCCCGCACTCGGCGCAATCGAGCGGTCTCCGGGCTGTCGGCGTGACGGGCGCGCGCTGTGGCCCCCGAGGGTGCTCGGGGCCGCCGCGCGCGTGTCGCGCGGCAGCGCTCAGATAGGCGAGCCAATCTGTTCGCCGAAGGTCGGCGAAGCAGCGCCGGAGAGGGTCATGCCAGACGGTGGGGGCGGAGGCGACCCGGGAACGCGGGGCGGCGAGGCGGCCACAGCCTCCGCGCGGAGAGCTCCGTCCAGCGAGCGGGAGCGTTGCCTGCGCGGCGGCGTGGAGGTGGGCGGACTCGAATCCACCCCCTTCGCCGTAGCACGCAGCGACCAGAGGTGGGGGTGAGCGGGCTGGCCCGCGCCAGGGACCTTGGCGAGCGCCACCTTGGGATCAGAGGTTCGCGCGAAGCTAGGCCTATCTCCTTCACTGTTCCACCCGCGGTCCCCGACGCTCACGACTCCCCGTGCATGTGCATAACGAACGGCTGCTTGTGCATCTGATGGGCATGTGCATCGACATACGCTTCGGGATCGCCGAAGGCGTCCTCAAGCAAGCGAACACAGGTCGACACATAACAACTCGAGAATCGTGCTTGCGAAACAGAGCGGACATACGATAGTTCCCGACAGCAGCGAGGTTGTATAGCATACCCATGGCAAGGGCGCGACGGGGAGCACACGTGAAACTTTCGATGCGTCACGGGTGGGCGAGGAGAACTGAACAACAAACAGCAGCACCGTGGCCGCAGTCTGATTGAACGCTTTCAGCGAAAGGTTCAGGCTCGATATCGGCTCGACCCATGACTCTTTCTGATATTTGGCACCAACCTTGATGTAGAGGTACTTCGCATGTGTGGTCGCATTGAACTGGGATGCGTTGATGCGGGGCTCCCATAATTTCTGAATCTTGCCTGTTCGGTCGAACTCGCGGTCGAAAAAGCTAAGCATGGAAACTCGCATGAAGATAGGCTCCATTTCATTTATGTTGAACGAGGCGGGGCAGCCTCGGACAGAGCGCGCGAAGAATCGGATCCATCTCAACAACGAAAACAGAGCCTAACGGTGGACATCCTTGTTTGATGCCCCTCCTGATGGCAAACGAAAAATTAGAAACTCCTCCCATACTTACCGTACTCGTCACGTGTGTGTGTGTGTGTGTGTGTGAAACGTGCGCAAAGCCCCCATCGCATGCCGCGGAAGTGCATCCGCTTGAAGACAACGAAGTATCACTCGCGGCAAAGACTAGGGAAAGCAGCTTGAATGTCGAGAGGGATGGCTCCAGCGGTCTCTCTCCACTGAATGCCTGCGAGGAGGAAAAGGAAAAGGAAGAGGATGAGGAGGAGGATGAGGAGGAGGAGGAGGATACTGGCAGAACACAGAGCCTCAAAGGTGGCTCGTCCCTGTATGAATGTGACAATCACCGTGTTGATCGCCGCTCTCCGGTAGTGCTTGGTACCCCTGACTGAGGGGGGGAGAAATAGCGGCCACCACTCGAGGTCGGGGGCGTCCAAGAGGGGGGGTCGCAAATCATAGCCTGCAGCATGTGCGCGGCCCAGGGGAGGGTGGGGGGGGGCGCGGACGCATTGAAATAAGAAGGAGCGTCATGACCTTCGGGGAGATATCATGGCCCTGTCCATGATATCCCCCCCCCCCCAGTTATCACCCCCCTCTTGGCCGCCCCTGACGAGAGAGACTTGCGCGAAAATGGACGGTCACCAGTTCAGCGCGGATGGAATCTTCAGCGAGAAGCTGGAAGGACGGGAATGAGCATGCGGGAAAGCAGGTCGCAGGGAAGGGTGCGGTGGTGGGAGATTCGGCGATGGGAGAGCGGAGAAAGATGCGTACCTGCATCGACTACGCGTCGAGGGCGGAACCACGGAGGAGGTTGGATGGGCGGCAAGCAGCGAAGGCGAGAGACGCGCAGCATAAGCGTAGCGATGAAATTTGCCGCGATAGGCACGGATATGGTGAGGAAGCATCAGCGCGACGGGGGCAGGTAGGGCAGGCAGCGGGGGTAACAAGAGCAGGTGGGAAAGATGGTGGGAGAGAGCATGGGGGGAGAGAGACAGAGAGAGAAAGAGAGTTAGAGACAGAGAGAGAGAGAGAGAGAGAGAGAGAAAGAGAGAGAGAGAGAGAGAGAGAGAGAGAAAGAGAGGCGGGCAGCAGGGTAGCGAAAGAAGAAATGACAAAACAACAAGAACGGGCGATGTAGGCAACCAGCATGGGGGGAGGGGCGCTGTAGATAGATAGGGGGAAACACGGAAGCAGAAGGAGAAAACTATGGAGGAAGCGAGACAAAGAACGAGAAATAGAGAGAGAGAGAGAGAGGACAACAAGACAACCGGCCAAGGAAGACAAAATGCAGTCAGCAGCGGCGCAAGCGAGATGGGGCAAGATGGAGGGAAGGGCGGAATTTGGTGCTGGGGACTTGGTGGGGCGCGGAGGAGCACAAAAGCACCAGAGTAGCCTTGTTTTAAGGAAAGGTGGGGCAGCAGTGGTGACGGCATGATGAGGAAAGAGGAGGAGGAGGAACAAGAGGAGAAGGACGAACCCCGTGGTGAAGGAAGGCCCTTGACGTTCGGCGGCAGCGGCTAGCGGGCAGCGGGCAGGAGAAGGAGGGAGGATAAAAGGAGCAAGGAGGACAAGGGAGAAGAGAGGAGGGGGAGAATGACGAGAAGAAGGGGGAGGATGAGGATGAGGATGAGGATGAGGATGAGGATGAGGATGAGGATACTGATGCTGATGCTGATGCTGATGCTGATGCTGATGATGATGATGATGATGATGATGATGATGATGATGATAAGGAGGAGGAGGAGGAGGAGGAGGAGAACCAGTGTAAACCCAAGACTGATCAACGATGTTGGAATACACCCTCCCTCCAAACTCCGTCTTCATAGACCCCTACATCAAATAATTTCCACCGGAGGAATTGCCCCCTAGGGGGAAACTGTGTGGAAATCCTGAAGCGTGCCAAAACACCATTCGCAGGAGTCCACCGCCACGACTTAACCTGACTGGCACGTCTTGGTGATCCTGAATCGCGCAAGAACGCCGTTCCTGGGACTTCAACACCACGAATCAGCCTAACTGTTGCGACCTGAAAATCCAGAGTCGTTCCAAAACAACCTTTCCTGGTACGGTGGCCATGAGCATCAATGAAACCCTTGCGGATGTTCAAATCGAATATGCACGGCGCTGAAACGAGAACCACATTTTGAAAACCAGACACCCACAATCCGTGAAACTCTTGCAGATGTTTAATGCAAACGTGCGCGGAGCTAAGGCGGGAAGTACATGTTGAAAAACACTCGCCCTCAATCCGTGGAGCTCTTGCAAATGTTCAAAACGAATGTGCGCGGCGCTAAAGCGAGAACCACATTTTGAAAAACGGTCCGCCCTCAATCCGTGAAACTCTTGTAGATATGTAAAACGAAAGTGCGCGGCGCAAAGGCGAGAACCACATTTGAAAACAACCCGCCCTCAATCCGCATAATTCTTGCAGTTTTTAAAACGGATATGCGCGGCGTTAAGGCGAGAGCCACATGTTGAAAACGACCCGCCCTCCATCTGTGAAACTGTTGCCACTTTCAAAGTTTCAGGATCGTAACTGGTGGAGACGTCTCAGACGAAACGCCTGGCCCGCCCTCTCGACGGGCTTCGGGGTGCGACAGGGGAAACATATTTCTTCAGGAAAGAAGATTGACCCGCGCGCTCCCCGGCTCGCGGACCCCTTCAGAAGTACGGCGCCACGACGTCGTAGAGGATGCCACAGGACCCGCAGACCCACACCCTCTCGGCGCCGTTGTCGCAGCCCGAGCCCTGCTGGGGGTCCTCGTCCCAGCCGCACACCTTCTCCTCGCAGGTCGGGGTACCAGCAGGCATGATCCACAATTAACGGACATCTTGTCCTTCGGGAGGGGACCTAAGTTAGGGGGCCCAGACACTAGGTATAAGTTTTCGTTTTTGCAGACGCATCGAACCATACCGCCCATATATTTGGCAGTCCATCCTGCCGAGCCAGGGACCTAAATCAGGCTACGCCTTCAGTGTGCTCCTGGGGTTAGCGGCTCTGTTCTTCATCATGGAGGCATGCGCCAACCCCCAGCGCAGATCCACAGCACATCCGCGCTGACCTCCAACAGCTCGTGTTCATGCATTTGTCTGCGCACTCTGGCGCAGACCCGTCCGCCCCTGCGTGGCCTCCTCTTCCCCCCCTCCGCGGCCGCCTCGCCTCCCCGCTCTCCCCTCCTGCACCGCTGGCCAGATCGCCTTTCGGCGCCCCCGTCTGGCTCTCTCGCTGGTGCAGCCAACTCTGCCTCGCCGCTGACGGAACAAAAATGTTTATGCAATTCTTTCCTCTTCGACCCGTGGTCGAGCAGGAGGAGGAGGAGGAGGAGGAGGAGGAGGAGGAGGAGGAGGAGGAGAAGGAGGATGGTTTCGTGCTGGAGGGTGGCTCCGGCTCGGACAGCTCGCTGCCAGAAGGGGTCTGTGGGCCCGACCCCTCGGCCCTTTGGGGGACCGTGCACGCGCAGCCCGGGGCTCCCCAGGCCGTCACGGACCCCCCACCAACGCCGTAGAGAGGTCCTTGTGTTAGGTCGGGCATGTCCCCCCACAGGCGGATTTTGGATGAAGAATCGAACATATTCAAAAAATATTCAAAAAATCAACAAATGCTCAAAAGATCGTCCCCCAGACTATCGTTGGACTATTCTTGAGTATTCCCCCTGTAGAGGGACAGGCCCGACTTAAAATCCTTGTGGGGCTGTCCGCACGAACGGCTCGCAATGACAGGTCCGCGGCGCGCACAAGGGGGGCGTATGGGGGGAGGGGGAAGAGCTGGGACAGGGGGAAAGCATCTCTTAGAAGGAGGCCGCTTCTCAGAGGGCGTTGGCCTTGCATCTATAGGCAAGGCCCGCGCCTTCTACGAAGCAGGGGTGCTTTGTAAGGAGCCTTTCTAGGGTGTTTTCTACAGACAAGGCGCCCGCGCCTTCTGAGAAGCAGGGGCGTTTCCAAGAAATTTTCCCCCTCCCACTAATGATTCCCCTCTGCGCGTGGCCGAATATAGACACGAGAACTGCGGAGCATAAACTTTCGGAGCCCCGCGTGGGTCTCTTGCATCGGCGCTGGACCCCCACCCCCCTGGGGCGGCGCCGCGCAGATCCAAGAGATCCGCGCGGAGCTCCGAGAAATCATGATTATGCAATTTGATCTTCGAGATGAGCAGCTGGTCCTGGGGAAGAGGTCGCAACCCCGCCCTGCGAATCCATCACGACATCAAGGGTCAGGGCCAGGGGGGGTCGTTGCCTCCTTCCGAGGAGGTGGGGGAGAGAGATCCCCCCCAGGACCGTCACCAGCTCACTTAAATCAATCGTAACGCGGGAAGCACGCTTAACGACCTCTTCGATTTTCTCCACCCTTCTCGATGATCGATCCTCAGGTGGAGGTGGTGACCCTCCACCTGCTCTTCCGACGTCGCATTGTTTTTGTGACATGTTCCCAAAAGGAGCTCGACCACTTCCCCGGGACCGGCCTATCATCCTGAGTCGTATTTGGACGGCCCCAGGGATGGCCAAGCGGCCTCCAGAGCTCAAGAGCATCCCAAAAACCTGCCACCAAGTTTTTCTGTTGCGTCGCCTGGGGCTGAGTGTACTGGTCCCCTCTCGTGGCGCTGCCTGATGTGCACCAGCCCAGGGCGTACCCAAGGGCCCACGGCCAGACCAAACCAGGGAGGGTGATGGTGCAGCGTTTGCCGGGTTCCCCGACCTCGTTGTCCGACCTGATGAAGCGGCCAGAGCCCTGCTCCCCCCACTGCGGGCCTGAGGGTGAACGATCGGGGTGGTGCCAGCTGAGGGAAGGAAAAATCGAGCTTGAATGGGCGATACATCGCCGACAGATCGGCGATAGGCCGCCGATAGCGAAACTGGCAGTTCCTGGGCGGGGTGGGCTGTCAGGCCCCTATCGGCGCTGAAAAGGGGATTGGGGGTCGATGCCTCCCCGCCCTGAGCCAGTCCCCCCTCTGTCGTTGCCCCTGCGGGCCCCAGGAGTTCTTGATCGTCCAGTACTTGACTGGTCCGCGGACGGTCTTCTGCTTGACGCCCCAGGCGTACAAGACCACCGCGTGGTTCACGATGAAGTCCCTGTCGCATGCTTCCTCCGTCATGACGCCCGAGTTGTAGTCGAACCAACCGTCACCGGCGGCCACCGCGACGTACACTGGGCCATTGTTCATCAGCTCCCGCACAATGATGTCCTCCTTGTTCTCGGCCAACTTCGTCCACCCTTTGAGGCCAATGGCGTAGCCGGCCGTGCTCTTCTTGACGCGGTGCATCTCGCTTCCGTCGGCGCCCAAGGTGCCCCTGCTGGCCACCTCGGTGGACACCTTCAGGTCCTTGGGGCATAGCGCGCTCTGGTTCGCGCTCTGGTTGCTCCCCACCTTGGCTCGATATTCGCTTGCCTGCAGCAGGCCCATGTTGATCACGTACTCGAACGCGAGCTCGGCAGTGGCTCCTGCAGACACTAGAATGTACCGATACCGCTGCTCCCTGGAGCTCCCAGGGGACGTTCTGACCAAGATTTCGCAGAAAATCCAATCGTGGCGACGAGGGGCTCCCAGGCGGCCCAGCAAGGCGAAAATGATGACATGGCAGCGGTAATGGTACCTTCTCCTCCTCTGAGCTCCATCGCAGCCGCCCTCGCCGCCGCAATGCTTCGGGTTCGGCGTGCACGAGATCAGCTGGTTGGCCGAGAACTTCACGTCCTTCAACCCTTTGATCTCCGCTCGGGCCTGCATGGTCAGCCGGGAGGCGTGTGCCCAGCAACTGCCGCAGGTACCCTTGGGATTTTTTTGGGGTTTTGTGTACTTCAGGAACAACCGATCGTAGGTTAGAACCTGGGTATACGTCAAGATACCAAGATAATCGTAACTGCAACTTTCCAAGACATCAGTATATCTCGAAGATCAGGATGTGGAAATACAAGCACAGCAACATAATCCCAGCAAACATAATATCAAGATCAGATCAAGATCCGTTCGACATTTGCATTCATAGCACAACTCTTTAGCAAGAGAACTATCTCACGGTAAGAGTCGGCCCCTGGCGTATGATCTCTCAGGTCGTCGCATACCTTTGGCTGTCGCCACATAGTACATCCCCATTCGGGCTTGCATCACCATCAGTTCTGACCTGCGTTCTGCCACTCGATGTGCACCGTACGTAATCCACCCCGAACTTGACGTAACTCTCGGTTGAGAAGTCCACCAGCTCAAGGGTACGGTGTAGAACTCAGACAACTGCTTCCTGAAATCCGCGAAGGCGGCACACTCCGTCACGCAGTGACGCACAGACGGCCAGAAGGCCTCACCACAGCACGGGCAATACGGATCACAAGTAAAATCATGATTTCCTCCTCGCGTATGAGAGCTGGCCGCACCACACATGTATATCATCACTTTTTGCCACTCGCAAGGTGCGAGTGAGTCCCGAAACTTCTTCCACGCTTTGCCCGAGAGGGCCTCCACATCAACATCCTCCATACCAGGGAAATCTCGTCGTGCTGCCGTCGCCTTTGTCAAAGCTTTGAGCCGACATATAGCACGTAGAACATGAAATGCTCGCTCACCTTCAGAGGTCCAAAACCCACGACGGTTCTGGAAGATACGCTTCACTCTCGGGTCATCTTCCTCCTCCGACATCTGAAATCTGATCCCCCTCTCGGCATCGTACTGCACGTACTCCAAGCCTATGGCCTCGAAGAAGTTCTGCAGGTTGTGCTCGACCCAGGGATTGAAATCGATCTCCCAATCAGTAAGACGACGGGCCGCCGTCAAGACATTCGAAAAAACAGGATGGTACTGAATATGCAGGGCCCAGAAACGCCCTCGGCACCACCATACACACCTCGTACGTAACACTGAACTCATAAGCTTCGCCGCCACATCAGCAGGTGGCAGCATGAACACAGGACAGCACCAGAGCCATCTCGGTACAACATATGCACCTGCAGCACGTAGTCGGGTCCTCGAACTTCCTGGGAGCTGTCGCAAAGCGGCGATAGCTGCATAAACCTTCCTCCAACCTCCCGCTGGGGTGACGGGGGCCGTGGGATCATCTGGCACCGCTTCGACTCCAATATGCTCGATACGGCGAAACTCTCCACGATGCCACTCTTGTCGCTTACCTTTATTCTCCACGGCCCCCGTCTCCAGGTCGAAGCGGTCAGTCGTGTCGATGTCGTTGCGTAACTGTTGATCCGATGCACACACCAGCGAACGATCGTCCATGAACAAAAACTGCTCACCCTCGACCTCCCACGGGGCTAGGACGGAGCAGAGTACTTTGGGCGCACAGGAGTCTCCCTGCGCCAGCCCTCGCGAGGGCCATACTTCTTCCTTGGCCAGAGCGCCGGCCACTTGGCATCTCCTCGGCCCCGTCCACGCAGTAAAAGACACCGCCACCAGATCTGACGGTACCCCAGCGGCATGAAGCGAAGCAATCCCCACTTCGTGGGGCACCTGGTCGTAGCACTTGCTGAGGTCACGCTCCATGCCCGCCTGGGCAGTGATGCACGCCTTCAACCAACTGCACACAGCTTGGCACACTGATGACTCCGTCTTGCAGGCGTACTGGGCAGCCTGCGGGGACGGGAAAGCTTCTTCACATGCTGTCAACCAGCTTCTCAATAGTACACTCGCCACCCCAATCGGTCGGGATGCTCCGCACTTCTTCGGAATACCCACAACTCTCCAAGAAAAAAGTAGCCTCTGCAAGTTCACCACATCCTCGGGCCTCTCCTCCACGGGGACGGTCTTGAACAAGCCATTGGCGCCCAGGAACTTCGTCGTGTCCAGCCAGAGGTCGTACAGATCCTGCACTAGGAACTCGAACGTCACGGCCATCATCTTCAGCTCTCGTGCTGTCCAGCCGTCATAGCCGGCGCTTCCTTTCCCTCGAGCGATGGCTCGCAGGAACTGCTCCCAACTCGGACTCCAGCCCACCTGGGCCTTGCTCCGAGGGAGGGGGCGACGCATCCGCCGAGCATGCTCCACCCACGATGTCGAACATGCCTCGCCGTTGAAGTCCTCGGGGCGCCAGATCTTCCGCCACTCCTCGGACATGTCGTCAGCTGTGAAGGCGGGGCACTCCGTCGGGTCGTGCATGACCGAACTCGCTGCCCTCCACCACTCAGGATCGATAACTTCTTTGGCAAAAATCTGCTTCCAAGAAGAACTGTCCTCCGCCCTCAGGCGTCGCTCCATCTTTGCAATCGCCTCGGATACTCGGTCATGTGCACGGCCCAAGCTCGGTAGGCCAGCACATCCATTATCAATAACATGCCGCAGGCACAACTCAATGAAAACGTCGAGCTGGTGGCCCTCCAACTTCATGTTCGGTGGGTTCCTTCTCAACTGCTCAGCAACGCTACGGCCCAACTTCTTCAGTCTTGACAAGATGATGGGCTCGTTCGGCCTGCGCTTCGGCGTCGATGCAACAGGCCTTTCTTCTGGGATCGATCCTTTGGGTCTCTCGGCACTCCCACTACGTATGAGTATGCCCGACTCGACCCCCAGCTCCATCACACGGTTGGCCCGTGCATGCCAGCGTGCCCATCTCTGCGTCATCGTGTGCGTCCTCCCCAGCATAGGTAAGGTCTGGTCCACGTCTGACCGCAGTGCTTCAACATCCTGAGGTAACACCAAAGTACTCTGATCCAGCTCAAAAATCGATGTCCGCTTCAGTCTCGTCGTAGGTCCCGCCATCGCACTCCAGGATGTCGTACACAGAACCAGGCCATGGTACGGGATACCTTGCACAAAAACCGTGGAAGTATGCTGAACGGCAGCACCCGAGGCGCAGACTCTGGTCGGAAACGTCCCCGCCAGCGTTGTCGGTGCCGTCATCTGGCATACAGTCGCATGAATCGGTACACACTGCTGATAAGATTGCCTCCAGTTCAAATCTCCAAGAATGATCCAGGGCTTTCCTGCAGCGATAACTTTAGTCCAGTCGAAAACTTCGTCCATCCATTCAGTACTTGGGACCGAGGCAGGTCCATATGCGGATACAATCGTACCAAAAGCTCCACGTACGCCCATGTACCTGTGGCTCTCCGATCGAAAAACTTTGACTCCACCAACTCGGGGCCGCCAAAATAAAGCGGTCCCCCCTTGCATAGTAACTGACTTCGCATTCTTCCCAGGCGGTACACCAACAGCACATCTCCAACCCAGTCTCTGAGCCGTGGCCGATACCCACCGTGGTTTCTCCGTATGTAGGCGTACCTCCTGCAGGGCAAGGAAGTCCACCTCTCTCAGGTCGTCGTGCGTGAGCAGCTCCTCCAGCCTGGCGGCATTCAGAGCTGTGACGTTGATCGTGGCCAAACGCATCTGGCCGCTTCCTGACGGTGCCTTCCCCCCCCCGCGCAGCGGGTCGCGGGGGTCGGGGCACCCTCAGCACGATGGTCCCGAGGCAGACGCTGACGCCGAGGCCGACGTCGTCCGCGCAGCAACCTTCTTCCTCCAGGCCTTCTTCCCACGCTCACGCTTCTGGATCAGGTAGCGCTCGCGCTCGGGGCCGCTCTTCAGCCTCCTCTTGTCCAGCTTCTGGTTCTGGATCCGCTTCCTCTCCTTGTGCTCGGGCCTCTTGGAGTACTCGGCCCAATACTTCTTCCTCTTTTCACGCTTGTCGGGTCCGAAGTTGGCCTTCTTCTTCTGGATGCGCTTCTGCTCCACCTCAAAGAAGTGCCGCATACGTGCTACCCCGACCGTACTCGTCAAGAACTGCTTCCGCGTAACTTTGTTATGTCTTCCACTGCATATGTTCCACGGCGCCTGTCCGAGCGCCCTCTGGAGACCACACCTCGTGCACTTGTAGGCCGTGAAGTTCTTCGTGGCGTTCGGGATCGTCAACACCGTACGAGGATCATATTCACACACGGCCTCTTGAATACTAATAGGTAGTTTCGCCTTCCACAACAGATGCTTGGCAAACCCACGCTGGCGTACGTTCTCACGAATCTTGGCGGAGTTCGCGAGAAACTGGGAGATATGCGAGTGCACAATCTTCCCGATCTTGGGCGCCGGCTTGCCCTGGCACTTCCTCCAGTGCCTGTCCGCCTGCACGCTGAGCAAGGAGTTGTACTTGCGCTTCCCCAACCACACTTTGTCGGATGTGTCGGGCGTCCAACCACACTTGTCACACTTGTAATATTCACCAGTTTGCCAAGACCAAAACTGCTTAAATGCCTCATCATCGTCTCCTGCAGATTCCTCCGCCAAGGCCTCGGCCCCGCCAGACTCCAAGCCCAAGAGACTGCGCATCTCGTCTGCACGTTCATCCAGTCCAAGGATACTCGCAATAGCCCCTGAGTGCGCTGTCGGTGTACTGCGCAGCCCAAGAAGAGATAACATATCAACATCATCACCGTCATCCTCGCCACTGCCCTGTAGGCCATGCTGGGGGTACGGGAAAGCTTGATCACGCCACAGCCGTAACGTGTTCTGGTACTCGGGCAAGTCCTGGATGTCCGCTCGAGGCTCCAACCACTGGTAGTGCTGGTCCTCCAAGGTCAACCAGATCTCCTTCTTCTTTGTCTTAGAATTCGGCTCTCGTCCGTACAATATCCATTTGCCATTCGCATCTTTCGCCCAGATATAGATATCCGTCTTCGCCTCGTGCGCAAGTAGCCTCACCGCCAGGGCTCCCGCAGGGTTCCCCGTCGTGCCGTGATACTCCGCCTGCAGCTTCGTCGTCCCATACACCTTCTTCAAGCCTGCCCTCTGCACAAGCATGCGTAGGTGGCCCTGGATCGGACCCTTCGGCTCGAAGGCGTTGATGGGCGGGACCCGCCCGCTCGGAGAGACATGATGCAGACCACGGCCCGCAGCAATATAAAAGCAATCACCATCACCAGCACATTGAATAACTTTGAACCACTTAGAATATGGAGTCACATATTTACCCACAGCTTTGCCATCTTCGCCTCTCTGCAACTTCGGCTTGGACTCGACTTTGGTCTCCTCCTTCGCCTCCGTCTTGACGTCATCCTTCGTCGGCGTGACCGTTGGTGCTCCGGCAGGCGGTGTAGTCGCTGCTGGAGTCGTCGCCGTAGCCGTCGGAGCTGCCTGGCCTCCAGTATCGTCGTCGATGTTCTGGACCCTCGGCTTGGCCGCGCCCCACGCACTCCTGGTCGTCGGTGCTGCACCCTCCTTGGGCTTCTGTCGTGCTGGCGCCTGAGGTCTGACGGCCTTGGTCACCAACACTCCGCTCTTGAATGAAAAGCTCGTCGCCACCACACCCTGCGGCGGCTCAGCAAAGAACAACCAGGCCCTCGGCCCAGCCCTTGTTGGCTCCTGCACCCGCAAGAACCCTCTCTCCGTGGCCCAGTCCGCCACCATCTGTGGCGTCGTCCAGGTTGGAAGAGCATGCTTGACATAGTACTTGGTGAGCTCGAGCATGCCTGGCGCGTTGACCTGCGTCGTCGCACCAAGCTTGGCCCGCCCGTACGGGCGGTACACCAGCAGGTTACGCTTCTCCTTCAGCAGCCCACACACTCTTTTGAGATACTCCTTCGGCGACTCCTCCTCATTCTGGGTAAACCACTTGGGAGTCGTCGTCGAGGCCTGCTTCATAATAAAACAACCCAGCGGCGGTAAGATCTCGGTCATCTTCACCTCGAAGCTCTTCGGGACCGTGACCACACATGTCGTCTCGGCCTCATATGCAATAGCACCCCGCGTACGTACAATCTGAGCCGCTGCTACCTCACCCAGCACCACCGTCGGCATCGCCTGGGGCTGGTTGTAGATCTGGTGGTAGAGCGTCTCATCCGTCATCTCCTGCACCACAGTGATGCGAAAGCTGACAAGGGACAGCTTCTCGTGCTGGACCACCTCGTCGTCCTTGATGGCCGCGTCCAAGCCCGCCCTACGAGGGGCGAGCTCTCCGTGGTATACGATGCGAGCCTTCATCTTCTTCGGGCCTTTCGGCCCGTGGAGGAGTACATGATCTTCACCTGATGCGTCAAGGACC